ATTATTGTACTCACTTGAAGTTTATGTTGATACAATGCACTATTTAAGTAGTAGAGAAACCTCACAAATTTAAATTGATGAATGATATTTAGGAAAAGAAGTAGGCATGTTTCATTATAAAGGGAAAGTCTTTTTCAAGGCATAGTGTTTAATTCACGAATGGTTAAACAGTTTAACGGGGACCAACACTGGGTAGCAGGGGAGTGGTAGTGCATAGAGATATAGTGAGGGGAGCGGGGGCGATGATGGAGGCGGAGATGTTTAGAGAGAGATATAGAGAGTGGGAGGTTTACCATGGTGCAACCGAAAACCAAGGCACACCTTGCTAAGACAAGCACACTTTAAAACAGAGCAATACTCTGCATTGTTTTGATGTTGGTATCAGGACCAGGTACCATGTGAAGCTCAAGGAATGGTTGTAGATCATTATGGATAAACTAAAAAAAAGATCATTATGGAGTACATTATAAACGGCATTTGGTGTCGGCGGCATGTCACTACCACTGACAAAGTTCTCTGAAACACGATTACTATCATGTACAATGCTTTACAATTTCTCTCATATTCAAATGCTAAAATTCTGTAATTTCATATTTAGTAGTTTCTGCGGTGTGAAATTCATGTTTTATTTTGCTTGCGCAGTTGAAAATAAATGCTAGCAAAGATATTAAAATTCAAATCTAGCTTATTTTCTTAATATGGGTTCAGAAGGAAATTGTTGTTGAGCTTCTATCTAAAGGTATGTCAGATTAACAGGTTGCTATCGCAACTCTTGATTTGGAGTAATGCAAAGCAACTGTGGATCTTGTCATCGGTACATCTTGGGTTGCCGTTCTTCCAGAACGAAGGATTTTTTCCCCTAGATTGTGCTATGAAATAATGCTTGTATAACGCCTTGATCTCCTGGCTACACCATGCTTTCTTGAGAACACTATACTTACAGAAGAATGATGCTTCTATAGAATGTGCCACCATGAGTTCTGGCAGCTCTTTTAATTTTGTGTTCACTATGGACGAATGAACCATATACTTTGTCAATTTGATCAGTACTTGCTGAGTGCTTGCTTTCATGTTGCAATCTCAGATTTAGGCACTTCATAGCCATAGAATAATTTTGAATTGTTATGCTCAGTACACCAAATGTTGTTCCTAGGTAATGCACTGTTTGCAACTAAGTTTTGTCTTTAAGCACCAAGGTGTAGTAGTATGCATTGAAATAAATGGATCATTTCTATCTTTCTGGTGCTCATAATAGACTTCTTCATTTTGAATTTGTATGCTTGAAATTTGATTATTTCTATCAACTGAGAGTGGAAATGAACTGTACCGTAGGCACTTTTTCATTAGATTTCAGCAGCGGCTGATGGCAGCAACCTCATGGGCCACACATCCCCTTCTTTAATTGCATGCCCTCACAAAATGGATGGGGACTTGGTTCTTTGGTTGTCGCCGCCGGACTCAGTGAAGGACGAAAAATTGAGATGATCTAGTGGAGAATAGATGCCACGGGCTGAAGAAAGGAGGCGATGGTTTCAGAGCACACACCTTGAAGTGGAGAGGCGGCAAGGGAGTGCGTCTGGATGGCAGAGGGAGCAGGACAAGGCAACATCACATGGGAGGCATGGTCAAAATCGGCGCCGTAGGAGCAATCGTGTGTGTGGGGGTCGTACCAGGGAGAAGGAAAAGGGTGGTCGGTTTTCTAGGGCTTTTTTCCTTGCATCGGGAAACGGGTTCGGTTGAAAAAAACGATGATGTGGGGAGGTCACGCGAGTGGTGGATACGTGGGTACCATTTAAGGTACCAACTGCGCTTTAATAGTAGAGATTAAGATGTTGATATTTTATTCATTTTCTTCTTAGCTGAACATTCTTTAAACCAAAAATCTATGAAACTTGTAATGTATCATGGTCGCAATTTGTGAAGTAGAACTAACTATCCTTTGACCAAATACCCTTTGACCATTCATCAATTTTTATGTACTTGTCGCCCGTGACAACAAATATGGATCAAATAACTATGCACTATGGGCACTAATATGTTTACCTTTGAACGGGTTTGTTACTGTGTTTAGTTACTATGATGTTTCATATGTTCATCAGAAAAAATAAAGGCTTATTTGCTTGCATGTGCTTTCTCATGTTTGTTTGTTTTTTCTTCTGGTTGTTCCTTTTCTATAATTGTCACATAAAGTGAACCGAAACTCATATTCTATATTTCTGCTGTGTAGATACCCGTGAGCCCGCTGTTGAACTCGCTAAAAATGGAGATAGACATGGATTTAACGGTTCTCATTCATTTAAATCTTAGTGTATTGATACCAGTTTCCATTTGGAACTGAGATAACGAGGAATCGTTTCCTTCATGATACTGCATGTATGAGCTTTTTTCTTTCGGTGTAGGCCAATATTGTACAAAGTTATTTCCTAAAATTATATTCGAAGGTGTCTTCTATGAGAGTAACCATCTCAATCTTTTTTCTATAGTTGTCACAAGGTTCTTGTGCTAAAGTGATTTTTGCTTGGTCAATATGTTTTCTTCTGAATATTTCAAGAATGAATTAGTTTATGCTGCAGTAGTGAGTCACTGTTAAAAATAGGGAGAAAGGTGTTATAAGTGAAAAATTATGTAGTATACTTTTAACTTCCAAACATTTGTACTTATGTTCTATGCCCATTTTGATTTGGACAAATGTTTGGGAATCACAGTGGTGAAAAGGTAGGATGCAGGAAGAGAAACTTTAGTGCTTGTTGTAACGTGTTTGTGGCATTTTTCGTCTTCTACCCGTAGCAACGCACGGGCGTCCTACCTGGCGGATTGACTAGGTGTTGCGAGCTTCATATCCTTCCTATGTTGGGTATTAATATGATAGTTTGCAGACAACCCGAACTTATGGTGTTGATATAAGGGGTCTGGTTGGGTCACCTTTTTCCTTCTCTCATATTCGGTCAACGACAGGGCGTGTCCGTAGATTTGAGGGGACGGGCTATAGGTGCTCTATAAGATTATTGTGTTTGATACTATGATGTGTGTTAGCTGATTGTTGAAGAAAAAAATGTGACATTGTTCTCGGTAATCTTAGCTCAATGAGTAGTATCTTATTTTTTTTCTCAAAAGCCCGTGGCAACGCACGGGCGTTCTACTAGTAGTACTAATTAGCTATTAGAAATAAATGCAATGCGCTCTAAACCTTGTCTATTATGGAAACGCACGCAAATTTAACTACGCCTTCTAAACTGTGACGGAGGGAGTACCAATTATTTCAACAGACTAGACATGGACTCTCAGACCTCTTGTCGGCCCCCACACATGGTCGTGATGTGCCACCAGGTCCTCCACACACCCCCTCCACAAGCATGTATTAATTACATTTCCCTCAAAAGAATGTATTAAGTACACTCCACTCAAAAAATGTATGTATTGATTACATTGAACGTGGATACTTGGAAATATATGGATGATTAAAACAGCTTGAAAAACTTTTTTGTATTATGGGATATAGGGAGTAGTAATTATTACCCTCTAAATATCTAGGCGTTGCAACATGAGGATCTCGATCACCATATGTTTCTATGGGTTTTGATAGATGGGGAGCTTACCAAACAAGATGGGTGTAGGGTAATTCCACTGTCGGTGGCCCCCCTCCCACCACCACCAACTCCCAGACATGCTTGGTGGTTGCAGATGATAGCGGTATGAATAGAAAGATCATCACCTACCTTCCTCCTTCTAACCCATGGCTATCTCGTCGGTCTTTTCTTGTCTTCCAACCCATTGATTCCCCTTTAAACCCGGAGTTCCATGGTGGAAGACTCAGTTGCTATGGATAGAAGCCACCCCCACACTCCTGCTCGCAAGCCGGGAGTGGTCAGTACCAGATGTGATGGTTGTCTTGGCATGGAGATGCTGCCACCACGTCTGCGGGTGGCCACTTCCGATTGGCAAGCTCCATATTGAAGTGGATTGTAATATCCTGATATTGGGAGAACCACCGCAAGCGTCCAAGATTAGATGCACACTTTCGCCTTCCTACCATGCCGCTTGTGTGTCTGTGCGGGGGTGGGGGTGTTGGACGGAGGTAACCAAGGTTTAGGTTTTTCGACATGAAGAATTGCCTCTCATCCCTACCGAGTGCCTTATTTATAGCCTCAACAAAAACATTTACAAAAGTACCCCTACCTTGATACTAGCATCACAGGGGTATTTTAGATATTTCATGTCTACATTTTATTCCCAAGCGATGCTCTAAGACTTTGAGATTGTGGAGCAGAGCGGTGATGTATCGTGATGGCGGGCATGGTTATTGAATCCAAACAGAGTGACACATTTTACCTCGTAAGTTCTGCTCTTTTTTATTAGATGCACATCGCAATCACCCAAGATTAGATGCACACTTTCGCCTTCCTACCATGCCGCTTGTGTGAGTGTTGTGGGTGGGTGGGTGTGTGAGGACGCGGAGGGAGGTAATGGGTTTTTTGAAAAGAAGAATGGTCTCTCATTCAGACCGAGCGCCTTATTTATAGCCTCAACGAAGACAATTACAAAGTACCCCTACCTCAGTGCTAGGATCATAGGGGCATTTAAGATATTTCACGTTTACATCTTATTCCCAGGTGATTCTTGGAGATGTTGTGATTGTGGAGCGAGTCGGTGATGTATTGTGAGTATCAGTTCTATTCAAAACAGACTTTCGCCCCACTTTATATAACCGAACAAAGTATAACAAATAGATCAGTGGTCGGCACAAAGCGAATTATTCTTTTGCCTTTTTTATATACTTTTTAGATAGTAAAACAAATCAAACACTCCGTCCGTCGCATAATATACTAGTGTCCAAAACGTTCTTATATCATGCTACGGAGGGAGTAGATGTTTGTGAGGCCATACTTGAAGACAAAAGTTCTTGAGCCATGAGCTAGAAGGATTAAGGTATGACAGCAAAGTTCAAGTCTATCTATAGTCAACTTAAAGTGCGACGTAGCTTTATTTTTCTTCTTCTCGTGCTACTGAGGCCTCTTGTCGGGCGTCCCGCACTTGGCCGGGACGCGCCACTGGAAGCTCCTCCCGGCGGCCATGGCCTTCATCTTCTCCGCCGGCGCCATCACCGTGTAGTTCCTCCACTGCCCCAGCACGTCCCGGAGGTCGCTGATCTTGTTCGCCATGCCGATGCAGCAGTTGGCGTGCATGGTGCACGCCCTCGCCATGTCGTTGCGGAACAGCTGGCAGAAGCCGCTGAAGTGCGCCGTGTCGAGGAACTGGACGCGTATGCGCAGGTCGCTGCCGGCGCCGGCGATCTCGTGCCTGATGTAGTTGAAGATGGTTTGCTCGTGGTTTTGCGGGAACCCCCGCCGCGCCGCCCGCCACCGCCGCAGCATCTCCACCGTCCGGTTCGTCGACTTCACGTAGTAGAACCCCGTGTTGGGCCAGTTGCCGAGGTCGTCCGCGTCGCCGGAGAACACGTCGCAGGACGTCGCCATGTCCGCGTGCAGGCCGATGTGCCGGAACGGGTCCCGGAACCACAGGATGTCCACGTCCGTGAACAGGAAGCTGTAGCCGAGCTGGAGCACGCGCTGCTGGAGCTCCAGCTTGGTCCACACCAGCTCCACGTACGCGTCGCTCATGAAGTCGCTCGCGGAGCTCAGGTCCATGGACGTCTTCGTCGTAGGGATGAGATAGCAGAACCGGTGCACGGTCCGGCAGTGGCGGTAGGCCATGGGGTCCATGGCGACGATGAGGAGGTGGTCCAGGAAGTGGTCGATCTTCTCGCCGGCGAAGAAGCTCTCACGGAAGAGGCCCAGAAGGGAGCCCGGCCGCGCGAAGGCCTCGTTCACCGACGTGATGATCACCGTCCGGTCGTCCGTGGCCACCATGGGCAGAAGCTCAGCCAAACCTGAGAAATTGAACTGGGCATCCTGCGCGCAGTTCGTTCAGACACTACGTGTCAATTCAATTGATAATAACCATCATAATTTACCTCTAAGAATATCTCTCCAATTTTTGTTACTAGAGTAGTAGTACTACAGTAGGGCGATACTATGAATATTGAACATTTAACGCTGGATATACTTGGATGGAGGAGTACTGATTTCATAACAATTAGGACAGCTTTCCTGCCAAAATCATGAATTGATCGTCAGTTAATGTTGTTTTCCTTATTTACTCTACTTTCTTATTGTTTCTACCCCGAAAACTCCATTTGCACATCCTAATAATTTTGAGACCCCCTTAAATCCTAGCATAATATTTGTGAGGATTTAATCATGTTATTAAGTCAATGCCAAATCTACCAAGAACTTCTTAGATCTTTCTTTTTTTGCGGGAAGAATTTCTTAGATCTTAGCCAGCCAAACTTAGTCGCCTAATTAGCCTCAAGATTTGCTTTGCTTATCTAAACACCTGGAAAGGACGATTAGAGCTCACTACACCGATAGGGAACTAAATGAACAAGCCTACCTAAAGTGCTATTTTTTTTCTTTCTAAAATGTATAGTAACTATACTAATATAATGGCTCAATATGCCCGATGCACAAAAACATGACTAGCCGCGAGTAAAAAAAGCCAGCCTCCTATTCCAAAGAAATACACCATGTAATACAAGGGATCTATCTCGACGAGAAACAATGAAACAAAGCGATTATATGGGATTCAATCATATCATATGTGTTTTCATACTGAAATGGAAACGTCGAAATGCTACACATCGGAAACCTGTAAAGAAACCAAATGGAAGTGACTAGCACAATGAACTACCTACCTCGGTAGAGTTTCCACTATTTTGTTTTGTTGCTCGCCATGGAGACGGCATCATTGCATCTAGTGGTGGCCACCTCTGGCTGGGGAGCGCCAATAGTAGAAAGAGGGTTATAGTGGTTGCAATCCAAAACTTTACAATGCGATGAAGACTTCCGTCATGGAACTCCATGATGATTTCCGAAACAAAAATGAACTTTACCGTGTTGGAGAGATCTACTTCCATTGCATTGGATTTATAGGGTGTCCATGATTAATTGGCATGCAGCTAATGCTGGCAGGAATTAATGACATTATGGTAGCGATTAAAATCCTACTTGGAGATATATACATGATAAAAGAACAATTATTACCTTCTAAAGATGTATGCAATTCAACGTGATGATATGGATGTCCGTAGGTTTCTATGGGTTTTGAGATCTGAGGGTGTCTTCAATCCACAATTTCACAAAGCGGCGGAGACTTATCTCACAGAACTCATATGGTGATGTGAAACTAAAAAATTAACATTATTTGCATCTCAAAATTCGAGTTCCAATTACATTGTATTTATAAGGCGGTCTATAATATATGGGTGATGCAGAATATGGATAATGCATGAACAATAATCGATTAGATTGAAGCAGTGAGTTGCTGACTAATTGGAAATATATGCATGATAAACAACAATTGTTACCTTCTAGAAATGTAGATATTGGATCTGAATGTCCATAGGTTCCTACGGGTTTCGAGAGGTGAGGGGGTACCAAAATAAAACAAGAAGGCGGGTGAGGGGTGATTCCGATGTCACTGCTCCCCGCTCCACCAACCGCTACCCTTGATGCTCAACAATTGTAGATAATAGTGGCGATAAAATAAACACCATTCACCTTCTACCTCGGGGTTACCTTGTCGATCCATTCCTGTCTTCTGGTTCGGCAATAATCACCAGATTTTGAAGTTTTGTGGTGGTAGACTTTGTTAATTTGTCAAACCATGGGTTGCAATCCCCCTAACTCACCTAATGGTATTGCGATATGCCTATAAGATTTGCTTCATGCAACAAAGACAATGTCATCATGTCAATCGGTGACAACTCCTAGTTGGTGAGCACTAACAGGAAGAGGAGAAAAAGGGAGGTTGCAATCTGCAGCTTGATGAAAGTACCCCATGGTGATGTGGAACATGAACTCCATGGTATTGGGATCGCCATCGCAAGCCCAATGGCACGCTTTTGGGCCAGTTGGGGGAGGGGAGGGATATGACCAAGGGATCCGGGGAGTTTTGGAAACCATGAGTGATCTCTCGTCCTTGCCAAGCACCTTATTTATAGCCGAAACAAAAATATTTACAAAAGTACCCCTACAATGATGCTTGGATCTTAGGGGTATTTGAGAGATTTTTTGTTTGCATCTCACTCCCTAGTCCTTCTCGATGATTTCACGGCGGTATTTGTGGAGCCAGCGTGAGATGTACTATGATGACATCATGGTCGTACAAGGCCATAACTCTTGAACTAAAAGAGAGATAGGACCCACGCAAGTCGGGCCGTGTCCCGGGTCTTGACACCAAAATCCTTTCACACTGTAGCACTATTTGCTACTTTGTGGCACTATTTTCCATGTTTAGCCCGAGATTGGCCTTGGGCCTGGCCCCATCCTAGCTCCGCCGTTGAACAGAGACAAAGTATGTTTGGTATCATTCGCCCATAAAGTTGTGTATTAGAACAATTCAAATAAATGTTTTAGTGGCTATAGTTTGTTTCATGTAATTCTTTATTTGGATTGTAGGACCGTGGTTGTTATGAAACACCTATCACCCGAAATCTAACTTAAGCCGGTCCCCTTTCTTTGGGATGCAGATTCCCGAGAATCATTGTGACTATGGATTCCTGAGAACCAGTTCTAGGTGTGAATTCTCGAGAATCAGAAGCAGGTTGTTTGCTTACCATATTGTTGGACAGGTGTAGGAATTGTTGAGATTTTTAAATGTCAGTAATGTCCCTAAAAGTTGGATATGATGTTTATATTGATTACGCACAAATTAAGGTGTTTCGAGTGGTTAAAGTGGAAAATAGTTGTTTAACCATATGGGACATATCTTGTGTCTACAAATGTCATGATCATGGAAACATTTCATTCAAAGTATGCATATGAAACATAACATCGAAAATATGCACCGACCTTCATTCTTACATGCAAAATATATCATCCAAAATATGTACCAACCATGGTAGTGTTACATACGAAACATATCATCCAAAATATCCACCAACCATCATTCTTACATATGAAATGTACGTTATCATCGAAAAAATGCATTAACCATCATAGACTCATCAAGTAATATTTAAACATGTAATTGATCTGCCAACAAGACATTAGCAATTGCTTCACGAGTTTCTTGCATAGTTCCATCATCACCAACCACTATGTTGGAAACATGGCCTATCCGTCGGGCTTGTAAATTTCCTGGCATGTAGTTATCGTCACGGTCACATCTATCAAATTCCAAGTCTCTCAAATGGCTTCTCCAATGCAATTATGAAGTGGCATACATGCAATGGTGATCTGATCTTGCTTCTCACAAGGGTAACTTGACATTTTGAGATAAATATGTCACGTCATCCTCAACACACCAAATGCATGCTCAATGGCATTGCATAAGGATGAATTCACATAGTTAAAAAACCTTTTTCCCCATTCGGTGGGAGACCTTGGAGAAATTCTGACACATGGTACCTTTTCCCTTTGTAGAGAGCTAGATATCCACCACAATTGGGATAATCCGAGTCACCAGGATAGTACCTCCCTGCATAAAGTAATAGCATTACACATGGAATCAACAAGATAGCTGAAACAATATTGATGTGCACACAAAAAATGAAATGGATACCTATAAGTGGATGTGTAAATCTATCAAGATACTTCACAGAAGTATCTCTAAATATCCTCGTGTTGTGTGCTTACTCTGTCCATCCTGCAACTATAGAGGTGAATCTCATGTCAAAGTCGCACACTACCATGATATTTCTGTACTTGATATCCATGACCATCAACGTGGTTGACAATATCATTCTCATAACTTGGGGCAATTTCATGAAATATGTGACCCATCAATTGCACTATGCAACCATCAAAGTGAGGTGCCAATCTTGCATCTTGAAGCCTTTCATGAATGATACGTCTCCAATGTATCTAAATTTTTTGATTGCTCCATGCTATATTATCTACTGTTTTGGACATTATTGGGCTTTATTATCCATTTTTATATTATTTTTGGGACTAACCTATTAACCGGAGGCCCAGCCTAGAATTGCTGTTTTTTTTGCCTATTTTAGGGTTTCGAAGAAAAGGAATATCAAACGGATTCCAAACGAAATGAAACCTTCGGGAACGTGATTTTCTCACCGAACATGATCCAGGAGACTTGGACCCTATGTCAAGAAACAAAGGAGGAG